GGGGTGGAATAAGTTACACCATAAAAATCAATCAACTAATTGATTAGTTTATTAGTTGATTAATTAGTTGACTAATCAACTAATATATCATGTCTGATATGTTAATATCAGGCAAAGCAGGTTTCAGAACAAGGAATATTACCAGAAATAGTGATATTATATAATGAAAAAGGGATCAATTTGTCAAGAAAACATAATAATCCTAAATAAATAAAACCTGATAACAGATCTTCAAAATATATGAAGCAAAACCTGATAGAATTGAAAGAAAAAATAAATACATCCGCAATTATAGTTGGAGACTTCAAATTTCCTCTCTCCATTCAGTAACTAATAGAACAAGTAGACAGAAAACCACAAGTATTTAGAAAACCCAAATAACAATATCAAATGACTTGACCTGATCTTTACAGAACACTCCACAGCATCTGCAGAATAAGCACTTATTTCCAGTGTACATTAAAGTTTGGGGGGAGGAAAAGGGATTTGCCAAGACAGATCATATTCCCATACTCTTCCCCTGAAAAAAACCTCAACAATTTTAAAAGAAAGTCACATGAAGTATGTTTTCTAATAAAAATGGAATTGGGGTGCCTGAGTGGCTCAGCGGGTTAAGCCTCTGCCTTCAGCTCAGGTCATGATCTGGGGTCCTGGGATTGAGCCCTGCATGGGGCTCTCTGCTCAGCAGGGAGCCTGCTTCCCCCTTTCTCTCTCTGCCTGCCTCTCTGCCTATTTGTGATCTCTCTCTCTCCCTCTGTCAAATAAATAAATAAAATCTAAAAAAACCCAGCTTTTTTAAAAAAATGGAATCAAATTATTAATCAATAATTAAAAGATATCTGAAAAATCCCAAATTTTTGGAAACAGCACACTTCTAAACAAACAATGGGTCAAGAAGAAAGTACAAAGGAAATTTTAAAGTATTTTGAACAGAATGGAAATGAAAACACATCAAAATTTATGGGATGTAACTAGAATAGTTAACAAAGGGAAATTTATAGCATTAAATGCTTATGTTAGAAAATAAGAAAGGCTTGGAATCAATAATCTAAGGTTAAGAAAAAGAAAAAATTATATTCAAAGCAAGCCAAAGGAAGGAAATAATAATAAGATAATGATAAAGATAACATGATAAAGATAAGATAATGATAAAATTAAAGAGAATGATGAAGATAAGAGTAGAAATAATGAAATTGAAAGCAGAAAATATTTGAAACCACAGATTGTTATTGGAAAAATAAATAAGATCATAAACCTCTAGTCAAACTGGTCCACAGAAAAAGAAAAAATTGTCAATATTAGGAACGAAAGAGATACCTCTACAGATCCTGTAGATATTAAAAGGACAATGAGTGAATATTATCAACGACTGTGTGCCAATATATTTGATATCTTAATTGAAATGTCCTAACAGAGGGGTCTCAGAGTGGCCATTCCCCCCACCCCATCTGTGCCTGGCATAATACTGAGATTTGTGTAGACAAGAAGGGAAGTGCAGACCATAGAATGTCTGAACTGCCGTAGAGAACAATCCTCCAGGCTCAAAGGGTTAGTCTGGCAGAGGCCACACTGGGCGAGCTGCCCTGGTTCAAATTCCCCTGAATTTATTTTCAGGCCTGAACCTCTTCCTCAACACCAGGTACATCAGAAGTGACAACATGACTTAATTCTGGGGATTGCCCAATGGCAGTGTTGGAAAATCCCCAGATTTTGTCTGTCCTTCCTGTCCAAGCCAGCTCCACAGCACCATCCCAATACAGGACTGATGGGGTAGTTCAGCTCCTCTCTTTTCCCTCTCTCCCTTCCTCCCTTCTTCCCTTCCATCCAGGCCCTGGTGAATTAGAGCAAGTGAGTGCTTTGGCATCAGACCAAGTAGGATACCAGTCTCAGCCCCTTTTCTCACTGTCACCTCTCTACTCCTCAGTTTTTTTCATCTTTACTTTAAGTTTGCTGTGAATTCACATCTCCAGGGTTCTGAAGTTTGCATATCCAGTGTTACGCACAAGGTCAGGGCTAAATTCATTTCAATCTTTGGTCTCTTCCCTAAATGACCTGAAAACTCCAATGAGGACTATTACTTTCTTTTCTCAATTTGATCTTGAACTTCAAAAGTTCCAGGAGGTTTGGGATTGAGTCAGACTTCTCCTCACTATTATATCTCTAGTACCTGCACAGGTCTGGCAAAGAGTATATATGTGATAAATGTATTGAATGAGTGAATAAATGAATGAGTGAATGATGACAAAATTTATTCTGGGTGACATGAGATGTAACACAGAATCCCACACTGTATTTTCTAGGTCCCATGAGTACATGGGATTGCAGAAGCAGGGAGTGGGCAATGAAATAAGATCCAGTCCTTACCCCTGAGGAAGTCAATACATTCTTTTCTGATGTATTCCCTATCAGGTCTCATCTTTGAATCAGCTTTGTCTGATTTGCCTACAGTCAGACAGGGAGGAATCTAGACAGACAAATTATATAAACTCTTTCTCCAAAATGTGGGCTTCTCTGAACTATGTACTTCTCCAAGCTGTGAACTTTCAGAAGGCAGGGACCCTGCCCTATATCCCTCCATAATCCTAGCCCTGGTCCTAGTGTTAAAGTTCAAATGAACATTAAACAAGAAAACCGCAAACAAACAAAAAGTGGGTTTGGTTGTAGAGAAGGCTTCTTGGAGGAAGATGTGTAAAGATAGGAAGGCTGGGCAGGGTGTGGAGAAAAGAGACACTTTTCAGTTCAAGAAGGGAGAAGAGCACCTCAGCTCAAGGGCACCTAAGTTCAAGAGCACAGTGTAAGCAAGGACCCAGAGGGAGAAAGTGTATTCATGGACCCAGCAAGTGACCTGATGTGACCAGAGAACTGAATCCGTATCAGAGAGAGGCATGGAGGAAGGCTGGAGGGAGTAGTAGGGACAGAATTACATGAAGCCTTGAATGCCATGTTGAAGAGCTCACTCATCCTAAAGCTATGGGAGCCATATGTGAAAATGGTTGGATCGTGTGTTCCAGAGATCATTCTGGGGGTCAGCGTGGAACACAAGGATGGAGACAGGGGATCTGTGAAGAGGCTAGTATAGTTGTCCTGCAAAAGGAGGTGGTATGGCCCAGAAGAGATGGAAAGAGCTTTGTTGTGCTTTTCAAGGGTGGAGGTGTCTGTGTGTACATTTCTAGACATGCATTCTTTCCCAGAGGGTCAGCCTAATCAAAAATTTCAAATCCACTCAGTTTCACAACCCATCATATCCAAAGCCTGGGGGAGGCCAAGGATACTAAAGAAAGAAGCTGAAACACATCTACCTAGCATCTGACTTTATATTTCTTATAAAGAGAGATTCAAATCTCTTTTACAGGATTTCAGGGTCTTCAAATCTTGCGTATCTCATCTAAAATATTTCTTTTCCTGCCCTTCTTTTTGTGTCCTGTATGCCTTGTGTCAAAATCCTTGTACAGGTTGCTGATTGAAAAACTCTACAAGGCCAGGCTGGGAGGGAGTGGAGCCTGGGCTCATCAAGACCCCTCACTCTAAGAGGAGCTTCTGTCGGAGACAGCTAGCTCTTCTTCCCTAGCAGGGCCCGTGCATGGATGTTGGTCACCTGGTCCACTCAGGGACTCTGCTCGGGGCTGTGGGCCTACACGTAGGCCAGCTGGGGAATCCAGTAAGGCCACCGCAGCGGGAACTGGCCATTCATACCACCCTCTCTAGGTGACTCAGCAACAGGCCCTGATAACCAACACTTCCTTCTCTCAAGAGAGACCAAACAGCCTTTAAAATAAGCACTTTTGGGGCGCCTGGGTGGCTCAGTGGGTTAAGCCTCTGCCTTCAGCTCAGGTCTTGATCTCAGAGTCCTAGGATGGAGCCCTGGATCATATTGGGCTCTCTGCTCAGTGGGGGGGGGGGGCTCCTTCCCCCACCCCCCTTGCCTGCCTACTTGTGATCTCTCTCTCTCTCTCTCTGTCAAATAAATAAATAAAATCTAAAAAAAATAAAATAAAATAAGCAGTTTATTCCTTTGGCCTGAGAAAGGGCCAGGATTTTGCATCTACTATAGAACCTAGACTCCTGAACCAGCCTTACCTGGGTTTAAACCCTGGCTCTGCCACTTCTTAGCTATGTGGCCCTGGACACATCTTTTTAATCCCTTTGTGCCTAAATGTCTTCATCTGTGAAATGGGTCTAATTCTAGTAGCATGTACTCCATAGGGCTGTCATGAGGCTGAAACAAACCCACACATGTAAAGTAGCTGGAAGAGTAACTTGGTTAGTAAATGCTCATTCAAGTTTAGCATAGACCTACTGTCATCCACGATCCCACCTCTTCTCCCTTTGGGAAGATCTGAACTGGTCTAGCAGTCTCCCAGTGCTTCTCCAGCGGAACTCGATCTTCACACGCATTCCTAGTCTCCTCTGATCGGGCCTCTGCTCTTTCCAGGACCCTCAGTCTCATTGTGATTTTCCTTTGGGAGCTGTGGTCCCGCTGAGGTGCTATTAGTCTTTTCAACTGCCCTCTGGTTTCCCTGGTTTCTCTGGGCATTTCACTCTTTCCTCCTCCATTATGTTTTTTCATAGGCTTTCATACAGTTTGCCTCATTTCCAAGTAAACCTGTCCTCCCAATTCTTAGTGGCAATCATAATACTTCTATTGATAACATTTGTCGAATGCTACATGCCAGGCTCTGTACTGGGCACTTTCCGTTCGTTATTTTAGTCCTTACAATCCTAGGAAGGAGATACTTTTATTCCCACTTGGATGGAGCACAGGGAAACTGTGGCTCAAACACAGTAAGCAACATTACTGGGGTGGGGGGCGGGTTAGGGCTGATTCAGTCTGCGGCCCGAGTCAGGGTCAAGGTGCATATGGATTAGGAGAAGAGCCTTGTCTGGGTTGACTTATTATAGTTCCTATAAGAATGATCCATTCAGACCTGTCCTGAGCACCTTCTCAGTGTGATGGATGTGACCGGGTCCCAGCTCTCGAGGGGCTGTCCTTTGCTCCCGTCATGGGGGGCATGAGCCATGCCATCCTCAGTGGGTTGAGTCCCCTGTCCCACCACTTACTACTCTGCACTGAGTTTCCAGCTGTGTTCCCAGAGTCCTGGAACCTGGACTATAGGGGCTACCCAAGTGAGAGGCTGACCATCTGGATCCTGGGCCCACCCCTGCCAAAACAGAGTGGCCCTTGTCATCTATTGTCGCCTCATGGGCTTCTGAACAAGGGTGGATTTGAAGAAAGCATTGCACTGCTAAAGAAAGCTGGGAAAACAACTGCTGAATAGTTATGGTCTTTTAAAAAACATAATTGAACTATAACATTAGATTCGGGTGTATAAGATGACCCACTATACGTATATATTGCAAAACGATCACCACGGTAATTCTAGTTAACATCCATCCTCACACATACTCTCGGTTTGTTTTAACATGTCTGTTTCTGCCTTAAGCATGCAGGCTCCTGGAGAGCCAGGACTGCACCCCGGGCCAGCACAGGGCTGGGAGGGTCTCAGAATGCACCAGGAGCTCCCTGGCAAAATAAGGTTTGCCCCCTTTCTCTGCAGGGTAACAGTCTTTGGAGAAATTGAGTAAGAACCTTGCAGACAGAATGATGCAAGGGGAACTTTCGTTACACATTGCAACAGAGCATTCTAAAATGGGGCTGGGGCTGTGCTGATGGATTGATCCCAAGTTTCTCAGCCCCGTTCCTCTCCAGCTGGCCAAACCCATCACACAAGATCAGCCAAAGGCTACTGCCCAGCTCCCCCAATGCCTGGCCTTAGAGCCAGGAGTCATCCTCAATTACCCCTGTGGGCCGAAGGCCCATGTCCATGCCCATGTCACCAAAACCTGGAGATTCTAAGACCTCAGCACTTTCCTTCTCACCTTTGGCCCTGTATCACTTTAGTGCAGGCTGTGTTATCCTCATCTCTCCCCTTTCTCCCTTCTTTCCCTTCTTCCTTCCTTTCTTCCGTCTAGTATTACCCAAATGCCACCTATGAGCCAGGTCCAGCATTGGGCACAGGGACACAGAGAGCACTCTGATTCTACCTTTGCCCTCAAATAGCCTCTCCTGGGCAAAACAGCTGCGTAAACATTAAGAGTAAAGGTGGTCCAAAAAAGAGAAGCCAGGGGTCTGATGGGAACACAGAGCAAAGGCACCCCCTCCTGGGGGCCATGTGCTGTGTATCTTCCATTTGCCCTCCTAGGCCCACTCTCTACCTTTCTCTATCCTGCGTACTTCCTGAATTCTCTGTATGGACTGCATTATTGAGCTCCCTTGCCCTCTGGCCAATGGGAAGCCCAGCAGAAGACCGGAGGGAGGGAAAGAGCGTGACCCTGCCAGGTCACCATGTTGGCCTGTTCCCCTTCAGTGAAGGCTGGGATTAACAGGGGGCCTGCTGTACGCAGCTCCCCCTCTGCTTGGCTTCCTTCCTTTGGACCTTTAGGCCGCATGCCCCCATATTACTAGCTTTGAGGTACTGCACCATCCCTTGAGTTTTCTCTATATTTGGCCTATATTTTTGCAAAGTTTTTTTTGTATTAAAATTTCCTCCAGTTACCCAATTCCAGAGATATTGTCTCCTGCTGGGACCCTGGCTGATACAGGCCATAGGTAATCAGGAAGGATGCTATGGAGGTGACAGCTGAATGTATTCTTTTTTGGACCATGATCTTTCTAGACCATATGTCACCCCTGCTAAAGCCCTTTATGGCTCCCCATTGCTCTGAGGATAAAGTCCAGACCCCTTCGCCTGACACCTAAGACTACAACATTTGGCTCTTGCTGACCAAGCAGCATGTAGACAGAAGAACACTGGGGGCTTGGAGGGAAGGGAAGCAGTCCCTTCAGAGGTCCCAGGCAAATTCCTGGATGACGGAGGAGGTAGGTGAGGTTCTGGACCACAGGGCCATGCCAGGCTCTCCTCACCCCCACTCTGAGTGAGCTGAGCACTGGCAATGAGTTTGACCAGACAAGCCCTAGCCATGGGGCATAAGAACTCGTTCAAATCCTAGCCCCAACATGACATCTGGCAAGCTCTTTGATTCTCTGAACCTCAGTTTTCCCAACTACAAAATGGGAATAATCACTCAGGGCTATAGGGGAAGTTTAAAGAAGGTAATGAATGAATGGGAATTTGCTCTTGTCAAGTAGTTCCAGGACTAGGGGCTGGTCCCTCTCCCCAATCTCATGAGTCAGGGAAAGCAGATGGGCTGAAGGTTCGGGAAGGCTTGAAGGTAAATCCCAGGTTTACTACTTCCTCACTTTGTAGTCCTTGACAAATCACTTTGCCTCTCTGTGCCCCTCTTACAAGGTGGGGTGATACTCAACCCTGGCAGGGCAGCTGTGAGGATTGGGTAAGTGCACACAGACTGGAGGCTGGCATGGAGCAGGGTACTTGATAAATGTTTGTGTTTGCTTTTCACCCTGGGCCTCTCTTAAAGCAAGCATTCTCCCTGCCTTGCGGTCTTGCCATGTGCAATAGAGAGGCCAAGGCTGCCGTCAGAGTAAGGAGTCTCTGGTGCGCAAGTGTCCAAACCCCCAAAACTAAAGAATAGCAGCCATAATTCCCAGCACAACACTGGTGACTGGGGCGGGTGGGGGGGGGCAGTGGGACACACCATCCTTGGTGAAGCCCATCCCGGTCAGTTCCTGCTTGGTTGCTTGACTTGGCCTCTCTCCCCCTGGTTTGGTCAAAGCACCCAGGGGCTGGTTAGGAGAAAGATAAAGGAAATGTGACTCAGGTCCCAGGGCCATCCTACTCACGTAGCTGCAGGAGAAGCTGGGCAGACCATTACAGATGGGAATGCAGAGATGTTCAGAGGTGCGGGGAGGGGGCCAGGAGAAGCCAGCGCCAGTGTGAGTCCCCCACGCTCACCTCATGCAGGAGACCACAGTCCCAGGACAAAGAAAGCTGCCACGTGTGTGTGAAGGGCCAAACCCAAGGCACGTGTTATGGCCCTATTCCCCAAGCCCCACCTCCGTACCATTAACCCACCTGCTCTTCCTAACCCTCCAATCTAATCAAGGTGCCCTGCTCTTCACACCCCTCCTTTGCTCCATCCCCCACAAGATGAAGTCCAATTTTCTCAGTAGGATTACAAGGCCCTTCAGATTTGGTCCCTCACCACCTGTACAGTCTCCTCTTTTACTCCTCCCCTGCCTGCATCCTTCTTCCAGCCACACCAGGGTGCTCCCAGGGCTCATCTCCAGGCCTTCCCCCATGCTGTGGCCTCTGCCTGAAGGCCCTTACCTTTCTCTCAGCCTGGCAGAAACATACTGATGAGCTCCCGTCCAGTGGCAAATGCCATCTCCTCTCCATCTTCCCAGTTTAAGACATCATGTCTGTCCTGCTTTGCACCCACAGACTCCATCTGCAAAACCACTCATCAATGGGCAAGGAAGATAATCTTGCAACATGTGCCTGGCACTATGCTAGGCTTTTTTGTATCTTATTTCATTCAGTTCTTAAAGCATTTCACAAAAATAATTATTATTCCCATTTTACAGATAGGGAAACTAAGGTTCAAGGAAGACAGGGCCAGAATCAGACTCCAGCTCTGAGTGCAAAGCTGCTATGCACTAAACCCCTCGGGGAAGTGCGTCCAGCCCCAGCCCAGGCAGGGTCCTCTCTTCTCTGATTCCTGTCCCAGCATTGCCAACAGCATCTGTGTTTCGCTGTCTCCTGTGTCCTGGACCCTCACCCCTCATCCTCGGGAGCATCCCACGGGCAGGGACTGGGCTGGCTGAGCTAGGTCCTCAGCACCCCACGGTGCAGAGATACTCTATGGGCTTTCTTGAGAACCAGATGGAAAAGTAGAGGCAGCTTGGGTGGTTTAGGAGCCCAGGCTTACCCTAATTCATCTGGGCACCAACGAGACCCAAAGCCCCGACGCCCGACTTTCGCTCTTTCTTAGCCAAGTGCTTTCCCCGCCGCGGGTCGAGACACCGCTAAGGCGACTGCACGTGCTCGGAGTGCCGGCCCAGGAGCCGCAGGTCACGGTGGGGAGCCCAGGAGCCCGCGTCCGCCCCCTCGGCCCTACGCCGGGCCCCCGGCCCCGCCCGCGCCCCGCGGCTCTCCCGCTCCCCGGGGACGAGGGGCGGGCCGGGTGGAACCGCCAGCCCCGCCCTGGCCCGCGTCGGGCCGCCCGGTTGTGAGGTGATAAAGCGCCGCGCTCCGAGCGCCGAGCGCAGTGGCCGCCGCCGACGGCCCGCTTTCGGCTGTTGCTCGGGCAGCGACGGGCCGTGCGCCCCCAGCTCCCCGCGCCGCAGCCGCTCCAGCGTCGGCGCTGTCCGCCCCCCGCCCACCCCCGGCCCCCTGAGCTCGGCGTGAAGCCCTGGCCCCGGAGGCCGGGGCATGGGCCAGGGGCGCGGGGCAAGCCGGCTTCCCGCGGGGCCGTGAGCTGCAGCGGCTTCAGCATGAAGACCCTCATAGCCGCCTACTCCGGGGTCCTGCGAGGTGAGCGGGGGGCCCCGGCTGCCCCGCCGCGGGTGGGGGTGGGGGTGGCGCGGCCGTGGGCCCGGGGTCTGCGGGGCCTCCGCGGCTTTCATCCCGGGCTGGGAAGCCGCAAGAGGGTTTTCGGAAAGGACGGGGCTAGGACTCTAAGACAGGTAGGACTGTGTCCTTCCAACGAGGCTACGTTGCTGAGGAACTGGCCAGCGTGCAGGTTGAGGTTCCAACCCCTTTCTCCGCTTTTCTGAAAGCGTGCCGCCGCCTCCCCGCCGCCCATCTAGGTTTGGGAAGAGGGAAGGATCCTGGGGACCTCGTCAGCGTTGTAGTTAAGTCTGAGTTCAGGCTCCACTCCTGCCCTTCATCAGCTTGTGTTACCTCTGTTACATCACTTTTCTTCTCCCAGCTTGTTTTTCCCCATCTGTGAGAGGAGGTTGATATTTAACAAGAGCTCCCCAACCCCAACACTGGGGGCCTTGGCCCCTGGCATCTCCTTCCCCTCACTTCTCACCAGGTGGAGCAAGTCAGGAGAGACTGGATGGGGCAGAATGGCAGGGTTTTGCAATCCCCTGAAAGAGCCACCAGCCAGAGAACATGCCTGGCTGGGAGAGGTGTGCCCACACTGCGCTCTGCCCTCCTCCCATCCTGGAGCCCAGGATTGGGAGACCACTGGGCGGCAGCAACTCAGCCACAGAAGATGGGACAGAGGACCCTCCATGTGGCCCAGGCCCTCTTCCACCAGTGTGGAACTGAGGCCCTTGCTGACTATATAGATATACACCTGTGGTAGGAGAAATTGATGGGAAGAGGCATGACCTTCCTGAGGTTTCCTTCCTTTGCCTTGGCCAAGGGAGACCCTGGGAAGTCCCATCACAGCTGTCCTAGGTCTGTGTGTGTCTCGAAGTTTCCCTCTCTCCTCCTAAGTCTTTATTCTGCTTGCTGAACCTCTCTTAGCATTTTTTGTTCAGTAACTAACTGACAGTTGCCTACTCTCCCCACCTTCATTATAAAAATAAAACATACTAATTATTGGAATTTTGAAAAATTGAGAAAAACAGGAGGAAAATAACCACTGCTGGCCCATTCAACCAACCAAAGATAGCTTCCTATTGCTGTGGTTAGTGTATTTCTTTGCAACTTTATTTATACACATTATATAAAGTTGAAGGCAGGCTACAGCTACAGTTCTGAATTCTGGTTTCGTGGAGGATTTCCTCTCTTGCTCAGAATCACTTAGAGTATTCTAGTGGTTGCAGAGTAACCACCCTGGAGCTTATCACAGTTTAACTGTGTCCTGGGCATGGGCATTGGCATTGCCCTTGGAGTGCTGCTCATTGCCCTTGGAGAGCTACCGAGCTGCTGTTGCCATTTTGGAGGCAAGCAGCCTGAGCTGCCCCATGACTCCGGCCCAATAGCCTATGACAGCCTCTTCTCTCACTTAAGAGTGCTTTTCTGTTCATTGTATCCTTTGATGCCCATGACAAGGGAAGGAAGGGACTTACCCATGTTTGTGCTTTTAAAACATGCTTTTGTCTCCAGGGAACAGGATAGTGGTGCTCTCTGTTATAGTCCTTCCCAGAGATCCCCTTCCCTCGCCTCTGCTGTCCACCGGCTGTGAGCTATACCTACCAGGAGCTGTCAGCTCATGTTTTTGACCTCAAGTTTATATTTCAGGAGGACTTTTAGTGAATGATTCTGACCAAGTCACTTAATATCCTATCAGGAGCATTTTCCTATTTTGTTTTCAGATCTTAAGAACTACCCCTGCCTTTTTTTTTTTTTTTTTTCAAACTGGCTGCAAGGAATTCCATCATGGGCTGGTATGAAATCCAAACCAGTCACGTGTTAGCTCTCCAGATCTACTTTGGTGAAAGACTGGGTGGGGTAGGGGAGGGTGCTGAAGCAGATTTTAGGTTATCTAGGCATCTCCATTAGACTGGCTTCTTACATCCTTGGTCTTTGAAGACACTCCTCAGTGGCCTGGTTTGCCTCTCTGGATAAGTGTCCACTGTTGTGAGGTGGTGAGCCCCTTGTCAGTGGCAATATTCAAGGAGAGACCATGGATTCTGTGAAAGGAAGTCCTGTGTTGGGTGAGAGATTGAAATAGATACCTTGGTGACTGCTTTCTTACCTAAAAGAAAAAGGCAGCTGTAGGAACATGGGTAAGTGGGTGTCTGTTGGGGGAGATGGGAGTCTGTGTTGGTAACTTCTGATATTTGAAGGACTATCCTGTCCCTGGGGAGGAGGCTGCTGAGTTAGTCATGTTTGCCTCCCTATCTTTGCCTCTGGACCAGGGGCTCTTCAGGTCAGAGCTCTCTGAAGCCTGCCTAGATCCTCAGGGTTTAGCATGAGATCCAGAACAAAATGGTGGCAACTCTAGTAAAATTCTGAGCTGATTTGTTTGTTCTGTTCTTGTTTGTCCCAAGGCCAGGAACAGGGGTGGGATTACAGGGGATAGGTTTTGATGTAATGGAGAAATCCTGGTGTGGGTAGGGATGGAGCTCCCTGTTAATGGGGGTATGCAAGCAGGGGCTTGATAGGGAGTGAAACTAAGAAGCTAGATTGTTGGGAAACTCTGGAACTGGGGGTTGACAGTCACCTAACCCAGTCCTAAATCATAGGATGCAAATGTTGCTCTCCTGTTCCCTTCTCCCCCATTTCTTTGTAGCTGTCTCCCTTTCCCTGCACTCCTTCCCCAACTGCACAGAGGCTCCTTTGAGGTTATCTGTGCTTCCAAGGGCTCTTCTGTGCTGGGAAACGAGGGTCAAGAGTAATATTTGATTGACAGGCTGGGGTGACTCAATAGCCAGTGTGGAAATCCTGCCCCACCTCCGGCCTCCCACTTCAAATTCAGCAGCAAGTGCTTGAGTCATAAAATGATAGCTATCTGTTAGTGCTGGATCTGGCCCAGCCCTGTTCTTACCTATGGGATACTGAGGGCCCCAGAGAGAAGGGACTGGTTCAGAGTTATCAAAGCGAGGGTCAGAACACAGATCTACCTCCTAGTCTGTGACTTGCCTCCTTACCCAAGAGAGGAGGTGTAGGGCTGAGCATGGGGCTCCGGCTGTTGCAGAAGCTCAGCAATTTACTCTGAATGAGTAAAGGTTGCTCCCAGCCTCCAGGATGGGCTGGTAGATCACTACTTCCCAAGCTTTTCTGCAGAAGCTACCCCAGCTGCCCTGATAGGTAGAGATGCCACGGACCCCCAGAGCTCTGATGCCAGGTGATGAACAGTCAGTTGTCCCTTATCATATGTCAGACCTTCCATACTCTTCCATGAGGCCGTGAAGCCCTATGTGAGCAGCCCCCACCACCTCACAACCTCATCTCCTACCCTGCTGTGCTCCAGAACTGCCACTGGTCTTCCTGTTCCTCCAGCATGCCCACCAGTTCTGCCCTGCTCGGGGCCCTTTCACATGCTACCTCTCTGTCCAGATCTTCACGTGGCTGCTCTGGATCCTTCAGTCTCCTCTAAGAGAGCTTTTCTGACATGCCATGTGTAGAATTGCCCTCCAATTACCACATCTTGTTTTATTGTTTATAGTGCTTCTCATTACCTAAATTATCATGGGTCCTTACTTGTTTAGTAATTGTCTCCCGCATAAGATTGTCAGCCCCTTGGAAGCTGGGACCTTGTCTTTCTCAGGGCTGTGTCCCTGGTGTCTAGTATAATGTATGGCATATAGTAGGTGCTCAGTAAATATTTGTTGAATGAGTGAATCATTAATGGAGCCTCAGCCCTCCTGAGAGTTGCCCTGTTCCTCTTGGGAGGAAGTCCTACTTGTAGCTTCAGGATGGTTCCTTGGTCTTTCCTCAGGCCTCCTCTGTGCCTGCTTGTGCTGGGTGTGGGGGCCGCAGCTATTCCCTGCTGCGGAGATACCCTCAATCTCCTGAGGAGCTGGTTCCAGGGCAGAGTGCCAAGTAGAGGGAGCTGGGCTCTCCATGGTCCCCCTCATCACTTCCAGAGCTTTTGAAGCCAGACAGCCAGGGTGCCAGCCCTGCCTTCCCTCTGGGACATGGCTGGGTAGCTCACTTACCCTCTGGGGATCTCACTGCCCTGTACGGAAAACCGGGTCAGAAATCTCAAACTCTCAAGAACGTGAAGGTTTGAGCGAACACGAATGGAAAGTGCTTTGTAAATGAACTTGTGACACTCGAGTTCATCCTTGTCACTTGTCCTGTATGATGCATGCAGCAGGCTCCCCACACTGCGGAGAGTGGCAGCCTCTGCTCTGAGGGATTCAGGAAGGCTTTGCCACAATGGGGACTTGGGGTGTGGGCCTTTGGGTTTGCTGCTGGAGCCCCTTCTGTGTGTCAGGCTCTGTACTGTCCCTGGGTCGATCTGCCCTGGTCCTTGCCTTTGAGGGGGATGTACACAGGGTGACTGTGCATGGGGAAGCACACAGCATCAGGGAAGGGCGCATGGGGGGCTGCAGAGACCCAAAGGTGAGGGTAAGACGGCTCAGTCATCTCGGCTGGGGTCAGGAAAGACTTTCTGGAAGAGGCGACATTCCATCTGGATATTGAAAGATGAATAAGTGTTAGCAAGGCAGGCAAGAACATTCAGGTACGGGGAATAGCATCAACAGAGGCATGACATTTGGGTGGAACGGGCAGTTTGACTACAGGGCCCCTGAGCGATGAATGTGGGCTGAGGCTCTGATGTGCCGCGAGGCAGAGACAAGGGAGACAGAGAATGCCGTATCTAGGCCCTGGGCGGCTCACCTATAACCACCTGGGGGAAAGATTTGAGGGCTCCTGAGAAAGGTGCTATCAGAGCTTCTTGGGGTCTCCCAGGGACGGAGCTTCTACTGGCAGAGCTGAGGGCCTGGGGCTAGGAGTCAGGTCTGGGGTCTGTCCGGCCCCAATGCCGCCCCTGAACTGCTCTGTAACCTCAGGAAACCACTGTCCCTTCCTGACTCTCAGTGTCCTCATCTGTAAAATGGGCAAAAGCATGAGAGGAGTAGCTGCCCAGGCTGTGGTGCAGACCCAAGGAAGCCAAACCCACA